GAAATTGGCATCTTTTGGCCCTTGCACAAATTACATTTTCCAAAAACTGGAGCACCAAGTTGTGACAAATGTAATTATGGAAAATACATGGGGAGAGTATATATCTAGAAGTGATTGAGTCCAAATGAATAAATGAATGAGTAAGGAGATTTTTTTCAAAAGTTGTATGTATGAGTATGTGTGTATTTTAATACTCAATGAATCTGGATGTGAGAAGAGGATGTTCCAGAAAATGCATTTCTATAACAGGTTTATCCCCCTCCCCACCAGCAAAAAAAAAAAAAAAAAAAAAAAAAAAAAAAAAAAAAAAAAAACCCAGCCATAAACAGCAAAATGTATTTTGCAACATTTCGAGGAAGCTTAATTTATAAACAAAAGTATTTCCCATCAAAGTATTAATAATTAACCAAATTTAATCAGTTGGAGAAAGTGCAGGCTCAATTTAACCTTTTCTAACATGAGGATTCTGTAATTGGGCATTTATCTGTTGCATCTTTGTAATTTCAATGAATTCACCTGTTTGAGTGAAGTGAGCTCTCCTTTCAAATGACTGGTTACTTCAGTCAAAATAAACAAACTGGTTGAAGGAAGAGATTGACACAGAACATAAAATTTAGTGGTCTTAAAAGTATTCAATATAAACATTAAAAGGCAAAAAGATCAAATAGTCTCCTGAGGACTGTAGGTGAAACTTGGAGGTCTCCTAGGCTCAAAGACTATAGAGAGGTTAATTTGAGAAATAATCCCCATTGGAGTCAGCCTTATGGCATGTGCTGGTGAACTCTGATGAGGAATTTCAACTTCAATAACTGATTTAAGGCAAACGCGTTTTTTTCAGAGGCCCCTAAACAACTGCCATTATTTCTAAGATACCTGGTAGAAAAAAAAAAAAGTAACAGTCCATACTTTCTTGGGACTGTGCAGAACACACCTGATCCAGCACCTTGTTTGTGTGGGGCTTTCCGTATATCTTCTTGGCGTTCTGTGGAGCTTATCCATTCCTGGGTTTGTCGCTGCCACTCTAGGGAGGTTCTAGCTGGACAATCCAATGAGCTCTTTGAGTCTTCTAAGTTGGATTCGTGTTGTCTCTCTAGAGAGCTTCCTTTTCTCTCTGTTGAGTTTTCCACGTTACCAGCATGCTGGCTCAGGCCTATTTGCTGCCTTAAACCCTGACCTGGTGGGGGATCTGGTGGTGGTGGAAGATCTAAAAATTTTGAATAATGTTTAGAATGGACTAAGATTTAATGAAAAATACAGGTTTTAATTCAAGTTGAAGAAAATCTTTGCCCTCATAGAGGTATCACCCATGCAAAAGAAATTTGGGGAAAATATAAGTCGATTATTTACATCCAAAATGCATATTATTAATCTCTCTGCTGTCTTATGGCCACAGCGTCATTGAGATAAAGTTGACTGGTTTTATCTAACTGTTAAATGTGAGAAGTGTTTTTCACAATTTGAGGCTAACATGCAAGTAAAGGGAAGATTATGGTTAATATTCAGTCCATTGCCTCCCCTCTCTTGTCCCCCAAAGTAGAAATACCATGACACAAAATAAGATCACTAGAAATTCTTGCAGCTGTGTTAATAAAAGGCCTTGAGAAGAACAGGAGCTCCACTGTCAATCTCCATAGGAATGTCACCCTTGGGAAATTAAAAACTATAGGCTGTATCATATGCAACATATGACTGCCTTTACTCATGTAGGTGGCACACTTAACAATAGTCAAAGGGTTAAGCTAACATTTATTAAATGCAATTAACATTCTCCCTGACAACCAATTCTGGCTGTCCATTTCATGAGTTAGCTAATGAGTTACAACTAATATATTATAATCTTCCAAAGTATTAATTTTAATAAGTAATAACCAATGTTCAGAGTACAAATTAAATGTGCTTTATGGTGCTAGAGTAGATAATACATCATGGAAATCTGAGATATACTGGAATAGATAATTTTTCAGAAAAGCTATTTAAATTAAATATCAGATATAAAAAATTAAAAGTTTCAGCATCAGCTAATTTTTCATTTTTCTTTTATTAGCTCTTCAGATTACAACACCTTTATATTTTGAACATCTCCAATTGTGAAATCATAGTCCCTTTCACCTTTAAGTATTATGCTAAATTGGAAATTGTTGAAGACTTTGAAATCTTCTAAATGTTCATTTGGATCATTTTGTTCTAATTTTTCTTGAATGCTATTGCAAACTTTTTTGTTCATCCTGAGAATATTGGTAATTATATTATTTGTTCATAAAGACCAAATATAATATAATGTACATTATTTTCATGAATGGAGGATATTGTACATAACATAGGCAATTATTTCCCATGCCATTTTTATAAAGTGTTCTCTTGTTCCCAATGATATTTTGTTTGTGAAATTTAAAAGGGAAAAGTAAAAGTTTCCATGTACAAAAGATAGCTGTCTTAGAAGAAGGCTAAGCTGTTCCTTTTAAAGACTCTTCAGAAGCTTTATTATATTCTCTCTTATGAGCAAAATTATATTACCCTCCATTTAACTGCTAATGATGGTCTCCTGAGCATCTGCTCTGGGAGTTCCCAAACAGGAGTAGCATTCCCAGTTCTTATGTATGGCCTCATGTTAGATTATATGAATTACTAATTATTGGAGGGAACAGGGTCTCTGGGAGAATACAGTTGCATTTGGAATATTTCTTC